GTACTGTCGTCATCCATACTATCGTCATCCATACTGTCGTCATCCATCCTGTCGTCATCCATACTGTCGTCATCCATCCATAAGTTAGTAATCTTTATTCACCTTTTTTTGCTTTTCACAGATATAAGTTGTATATAAAATCCACAGATGTGTTTTTAAAGTACTAAAATGATCCATAAATGAGGAATGTACATAACTGACATTCCAAGTGAAGGCGGTGCTGGACACGTCACAGACAGGACCCTGGAGGAAGGCACCTGTTTTCTGGTGAGTGCCGTCTGGTGCACACTGGGGAAGTCTTGCACAGTTTTTCCAATGTGGTTTTACTGCAACTGGCAAATACATTCTTGAATCTTGTAATGCTTCGCAAGAGCCTCAGGCGACACAGTGGCTGAGTAGTTAGCACTTGCATCTCAGCAAGATGGTCCTGGTCCTCCCTGTGCCATCGTAGGTTTCCTCCGTGTGCTTCGGTTTCCTCCTACCACTAAAAACTAAAAAATCCTCCAGCTCCAGTAATCCTGACCGAGCCAAGCATCAACCTCCTCAGATGGGTCTAGTGGCAGTGAAGGATGGGTCAAATGCAGAGGACACATTTTCATACGGGGGCAATAAATTAGTCACAAACTAATTCACTAATATTTAGAAACGCCATAAAACCATTAATTAGCTTTTGTCTTTTAATGCACCACAGGAGCCCGAGATCTCTCTCTCTCTCTCTCTCTCTCTCTCTCTCTCTCTCTCGCTCTCGCTCTCGCTCTTGCTCTCTCCCTCTCTCTCATACACACACACACTCTCTCTCTCTCACATACACACACACACACTCTCTCTCTCTCACATACACACACACACACTCTCTCTCACACACACACACACACACACACTCTCTCTCTCTCACATACACACACACACACTCTCTCTCTCTCTCACACACACACACACACACACACACACACACACACGCTCAAAAAGTGCCTTAAGAAAAGCCAGTGTAGCATAAAAACATTTCCACTCAATCAATGTGACGGAAACTGGTTCACAGGCAGCAGACCTCATGACCGCACTATCTGCCACAAGAGAGGTCCCACCTGGTCCATACCTGGTCCATACCTGGTCCATACCTGGTCCATACCTGGTCCATACCTGGTCCATACCTGTCATGGTGAAGACTCCCACCACTAGGTTGATTTGCCGGTTCCCCAGAAGAGTCATCTCGATCTCGGACGCTCCCTGCTTCCTCTGCTCCCTCCTGGACTTGAAAGAAGCCCAGATGCCGGTCCCCAGCACCAGCAGGTAGAAGAACACCATCGATATCACTCCAGGGATGTTCACCGCCATGATGGAAGCAGGAGCTGCTGCTGCTGCTGCTGCTGCTACTGCTGCTACTGCTGCTGCTGCTGCTGCTGCTACTGCTGCTACTGCTGCTACTGCTGCTGCTACTGCTGCTGCTGCTACTGCTGCTGCTGCTGCTGCTACTGCTGCTGCTACTGCTGCTACTGCTGCTGCTGCTGCTGCTGCTGCTGCTGCTGCTGCTACTGCTGCTGCTGCTGCTGCTGCTGCTGCTGCTACTGCTGCTGCTACTGCTGCTGCTACTGCCGCTGCTACTGCTGCTGCTGCTGCTGCTGCTGCTGCTGCTGCTGCTACTGCTGCCTCTCCTGGTGGTGGTGCTACTGCTGCTGCTAAAAACATTAGCAAAACCTGAAATTCGTCATCCATACTGTCGTCATCCATACTGTCGTCATCCATACTGTCGTCATCCATACTGTCGTCATCCATACTGTCGTCATCCATACTGTCGTCATCCATCCTGTCGTCATCCATACTGTCGTCATCCATACTGTTGTCATCCATACTATTGTAATCCATACTGTAGTCATCCATACTGTTGTCATCCATACTGTCGTCATCCATACTGTCGTCTTCCATACTGTCTTCATCCATACTGTCGTCATCCATACTGTCGTCATCCATACTGTCGTCCATACTGTCGTCATCCATACTGTCGTCATCCATACTGTCGTCATCAATACTGTCTTCATCCATACTGTCGTCATCCATACTGTCGTCATCCATACTGTCGTCATCAATACTGTCTTCATCCATACTGTCGTCCATACTGTCGTCATCCATACTGTCTTCATCCATACTGTCGTCCATACTGTCGCCATCCATACTGTCGTCATCCATACTGTCGTCATCAATACTGTCTTCATCCATACTGTCTTCATCCATACTGTCTTCATCCATACTGTCGTCATCCATACTGTCGTCATCCATACTGTCTTCATCCATACTGTCGTCATCCATACTGTTGTCATCCATACTGTCGTCATCCATACTCTCGTCATCCATACTGTCGTCATCAATACTGTCTTCATCCATACTGTTGTCCATACTGTCGTCATCCATACTGTCGTCATCCATACTGTCTTCATCCATACTGTCTTCATCCATACTGTCGTCCATACTGTCGTCATCCATACTATCGTCATCCATACTGTCTTCATCCATTCTGTCGTCATCCATACTGTTGTCCATACTGTCGTCATCCATACTATCGTCATCCATACTGTCGTCCATACTGTCGTCATCCATACTATCGTCATCCATACTGTCTTCATCCATACTGTATGAGAGAGCCAGACCCTCAGAGTCAGACCCTCAGAGTCAGACCCTCAGAGTCAGACCCTCAGAGTCAGACCAGGAAGGACTAAAGCTTCATGTGATGGTGGCTGACGTTCTCTGTGATTTATTGTATGATTTCTGAGTTTGGTGATAACCGTCTCTATGTTGAATTTCTTTGGTCACTGTGCACATAAATTGAAATGCAAAGTGAGCTAATGTTTAACTTCATAACATAAATTCTTGGACACTATAATACTATATTAGTATAACACTTTTATATTTTTCATCCATTTTAAGTGTTGCTTCGTCGGCTTTGCTGCAACTATTCCACCATTTTATTCAGTTTGTAAATATTGCAAAGTACTCAATAATTAGATTTTTTTATTTAAATTATTATTTACATGTCATAATAATGTCCACAAGCTGTAACCTTGTGTAGAGTCCATTTGTTCAGGATAGACCGCTCTGATTGTTGACAGCACCGGAATGACTGCAGATTCTCCTCCCCAAACACCAAAGATGTCCTGCTAACCTGAAGCAAGAGGCGTTCAAAAAGAAATCAATGTAAACTAATATGAGCTATTAGATTTAGTGTAGAGTATTGGAAAAGTGCTGATTCCAAAATGGTCATTTCGACTGACCAGAAGGTGGTGCATATGTTATACTGACGTGGCTGTGTAGTGTACGGTACGTTTGTGAATTGTTAAACCACTGGGTCCAAACTAATTTGTCAAAGCTAATAAATAAGAGCAGGAAACCCTCGGCTAAAGCTAAGTCACTGCTCAACTGACTTCAGAAAACATTAGCCTTGCTGCTAACTTTAACTTTGTAACTTTTTCAGTGGATAGATTTAGTCCTTGGGTGAACATGTGACTTTTCTGTTGGTGCTGTGGCCTCTGTTGGGAAACCCAGCACAGACCGGTCCTGAAGGCGGACCAGAGCAGCCCTCGTTCAAATGAATGGAGCTGCTCCGGCTGACACATGCGCAGATAGGTTGTTTCACAATTTTCTTGTGGGCGGGACCACTCGCAGCCATTTTGGATTACTCCAGTAGAGCACATTTTTTGGCCCATTAGTTAGAACGGCGGAGATAGGCGTGACTCTGTCCGTTAATATATACAGTCTATGCTATGAACACATGAATCTGTCACTATGAACACATGTTTCTGTCTCTATGAACACATTTTTCTGTCACTATGAACAAATGTTTCTGTCACTATGAACACTTGTTTCTGTCACTATGAACACATGAATCTGTCACTATGAACACTTGTTTCTGTCACTATGAACACTTGCTTCTGTCACTATGAACACATGTTTCTGTCTCTATGAACACATGTTTCTGTCACTATGAACACATGTTTCTGTCACTATGAACACTTGTTTATGTCACTATGAACACATGAATCTGTCACTATGAACACTTGTTTCTGTCACTATGAACACTTGCTTCTGTCACTATGAACACATATTTCTCACTATGAATACATGTTTCTGTCACTATGAACACATGTTTCTGTCACTATGAACACATGTTTCTGTCTCTATGAACACATGTTTCTGTCAGTATGAACACATGTTTCTGTCACTATGAACACATGTTTCTGTCTCTATGAACACATGTTTCTGTCACTATGAACACATGTTTCTGTTACTATGAACACATGTTTCTGTCACTATGAACACATGTTTCTGTCACTATGAACACTTGTTTCTGTCAGTATGAACACATGTTTCTGTCACTATGAACACATGTTTCTGTCTCTATGAACACATGTTTCTGTCACTATGAACACATGTTTCTGTTACTATGAACACATGTTTCTGTCAATATGAACACATGTTTCTGTCTCTATGAACACATGTTTCTGTCACTATGAACACATGTTTCTGTTACTATGAACACATGTTTCTGTCAATATGAACACATGTTTCTGTCACTATGAACACATGTTTCTGTCACTATGAACACATGTTTCTGTCAATATGAACACATGTTTCTCACTATGAACACATGTTTCTGTCAATATGAACACTTGTTTCTATCACTATGAACACATGTTTCTCACTATGAACACATGTTTCTGTCACTATTAACACATGTTTCCGTCACTATGAACAAATGTTTCTGTCACTATGAACACATGTTTCTGTCACTATGAACACATGTTTCTGTTACTATGAACACATGTTTCTGTCAATATGAACACATGTTTCTGTCAATATGAACACTTGTTTCTGTCAGTATGAACACATGTTTCTGTCACTATGAACATATGTTTCTGTCCCTATACGATAGCCGCTAAAGAGATTAAACAACTTTTCCTGAGGCTGCACCCCCGCAAAGCTCCTGGCCCGGACCACGTGTCTCCGGCCACTCTGAGACACTGCCCCAGTGAGCTTCCTCCTGTGTTCACTGACATTTTCAACACCTCTCTGCAGTCCTGCCATGTCCTGCTTCAAATCCTCCATCATTGTCCCCGTCCCGAAGAAGCCCAGGATCACAGGACTCAATGACTACAGACCTGTAGCACTTACGTCTGTCGTCATGAAGTCATTTGAACGCCTGGTCCTCTCCCATCTCAAGTCCCTCACCTCCCCCCTCCTGGACCCCCTGCAGTTCGCCTACAGAGCCAACAGATCTGTAGACGACGCCATTAACCTGGCCCTCCACCACATCCTACAGCACCTGGACTCCCCGGGGACCTACGCCAGGGTCCTGTTCGTGGACTTCAGCTCTGCCTTCAACACAATCCTGCCATCCCTGCTCCAGGACAAGCTCTCCCAGCTCAACGTGCCCGATTCCACCTGCAGGTGGATCACTGACTTCCTGACGGACAGGAAGCAGCGAGTGCGTCTGGGGAAGAATGTCTCGGACTCTCGGATTATAAATACAGGAGCCCCACAGGGTTGTGTTCTTTCTCCCCTGCTCTTCTCCCTGTACACCAACCACTGCACCTCCAGCCACGACTCCGTGAAGCTGATCAAGTTCGCGGACGACACCACCCTCATTGGACTCATCTCCAACAACGATGAGTCCGCCTACAGGAGGGAGGTGGACCGGCTGGTGTCCTGGTGCAGTGGTAACAACCTGGAGCTGAACGCCCAGAAGACAGTGGAGATGATTGTGGACTTCAGGAAGAGCACTGTCCCCCCGCCCCCACCCTCCGTGATGGACTCCCCCATCACCTCTGTGGAGTCCTTCCGTTTCCTGGGCACCACCATCACCCAGGACCCAAGTGGGAGCCGACCATCAGCTCCCTCATCAAGAAGGCCCAGCAGAGGATGTACTTCCTGCGGCAGCTCAGGAAAGCCAAGCTGCCTGCACAGATGTTGGTGCAGTTCTACACAGCCATCATCGAGTCCATCCTCACCTCCTCCATCACCGTGTGGTTCGCTGGAGCCACAGTCAGGGACAAACAGAGACTACAGCGCATTGTGCGCTCTGCAGAGGAAGTGATCGGCCGCAGCCTTCCATCGCTGCAGGACCTGTACGTCGCCCGAGCTCGAGGCCGGGCTGGTCGTATCACAGCCGACCCCTCTCACCCTGCACATGGACTATTCCAACCACTCCCCTCTCACCTGCACATGGACTATTCCAACCACTCCCCTCTCACCTGCACATGGACTATTCCAGCCACTCCCCTCTCACCTGCACATGGACTATTCCAACCACTCCCCTCAGGCAGGAGGCTGCGGTCCATCAGGACTAGAACCTCCCGCCACAAGAACAGTTTCTTCCCCTCTGCTGTTGGACTCTTGAACACTTCTTAACCTGTCCCCCCGCCCTTTATAAAGTCACTTTACTGCCCATCATACGTCACTTTACTTCACTGTACTGCTGTCACCTTACATTGTGTGCACCATGTGCACTTGTATATTGTAAATAGTAACTGTAACTCTATTTTAAATTTAAATTTATTCTTTAGAAGTGTTTTTTATTCTTATTTTTATTATCTCTTTTTGACTGTTGCACTGAGCCAAAGCAAATTCCTAGTCTGTGACCTCCTGTTACTTACGTGGCAATAAAAATGATTCTGATTCTGATTCTGTCTCTATGAACACATTTTTCTGTCACTATGAACACATGTTTCTCTCTATGAACACATGTTTCTGTCTCTATGAACACATGTTTTTGTCACTATGAACACATGTTTTTGTCACTATGAACACATGTTTCTCACTATGAACACATGTTTCTGTCACTATGAACACATGTTTCTGTCACTATGAACACTTGTTTCTGTCACTATGAACACATGAATCTGTCACTATGAACACTTGTTTCTGTCACTATGAACACATGTTTCTGTCACTATGAACACATGTTTCTCACTATAAACACACGTTTCTGTCACTATGAACACACGTTTCTGTCACTATGAACACATGTTTCTGTCACTATGAACACTTGTTTCTGTCACTATGAACACATGAATCTGTCACTATGAACACTTGTTTCTGTCACTATGAACACATGTTTCTGTCACTATGAACACATGTTTCTCACTATAAACACACGTTTCTGTCACTATGAACACACGTTTCTGTCACTATGAACACATGTTTCTGTCACTATGAACACATGTTTCTGTCACTATGAACACATGTTTCTGTCTCTATGAACACATGTTTCTGTCACTATGAACACATGTTTCTGTCAATATGAACACATGTTTCTCACTATGAACACATGTTTCTGTCAATATGAACACTTGTTTCTATCACTATGAACACGTTTCTCACTATGAACACATGTTTCTGTCACTATGAACACATGTTTCCGTCACTATGAACAAATGTTTCTGTCACTTTGAACACATGTTTCTGTCACTATGAACACATGTTTCTGTTACTATGAACACATGTTTCTGTCACTATGAACACATGTTTCTGTCACTATGAACACATGTTTCTGTCACTATGAACACATGTTTCTATGAACACATGTTTCTGTCCTTATGAACACATTTTTCTGTCACTATGAACACATGTTTCTCTCAATGAACACATGTTTCTGTCACTATGAACACATGTTTCTGTCTCTATGAACACATGTTTCTGTCTCTTTGAACACATGTTTCTGTCACTATGAACACATGTTTCTGTCTCTTTGAACACATGTTTCTGTCACTATGAACACATGTTTCTGTTTCTACGAACACATGTTTCTGTCACTATGAACACATGTTTCTATAAACACATGCTTCTGTCACTATGAACACATGTTTCTGTCACTATGAACACATGTTTCTCACTATGAACACATGTTTCTGTCACTATGAACACATGTTTCCCACTATAAACACACGTTTCTGTCACTATGAACACATGTTTCTCACTATGAACACATGTTTCTGTCACTATGAACACATGTTTCTCACTATGAACACATGTTTCTGTCACTATGAACACATGTTTCCGTCACTATGAACACATGTTTCTGTCACTATGAACACATGTTTTTGTCACTATGAACACATGTTTTTGTCACTATGAACAAATGTTTCTGTCACTACGAACACATGTTTGTCACTGTGAACACATGTTTCTCACTATGAACACATGTTTCTCAATATGAACACATGTTTCTGTCATCACTAGGGAGCCCTCTGCTGGATAAGTATGGTAACTTGAGCACTATCCTCTCCTCCTTCCTACTTTATCTGTTTAGCATTTTTAGGATTTTGACTGCAGTTTGTTCATTGCTATTCACCCGTTGTCCCATTGTCTGTTTCATGGTACGTTGACGGGATCTCTGAGCCTGGCCTCCTCCATCTACACCTGCGGAAAGTGAATTGAATTGAAATTGTGGCACCTTCAACCCGTCTGACTTCCTCTTCCCCATCACCGTGTGTGGATGCAACAATCTCTGACTCTGAACATTGTAAAGCTCTTTGGGTCTGTACCTTGGTCTGTAAAAGCGCCATATAAATAAACCTTACTTTCTTACTTCCTTCTCTGTGAAACATGTGTGTATCGTGCCACAGTAGTGATTTGCCTACAGGAACACGCCGTTATCAGCTGCCACATTTGAATTGTAAATTTGACGTGCCAAACACTATCACACAAGTTCCCTTTATATTTATTTCAACAGTGTTTTGCGTGTTCTCCTGAGGGTTAGACACACACATCATGTTAGGACCGTCATATTGACTGCACATATATCTGCACATCTCCACGAGGCGCCGGACAAAAAGTGACCTATTTCACAGTAAGGAGGAAGTAACCGGACCCTCCTCCTCTGCTGGGAACCTGCCAGAGAAGGTTGAGCAACAGAGGTAGGGCACTGTTTCTTCAGTCGTGGTCGGGCTGAGAGCAAGGGCCATGCCGGTCTACACGGTCACAGTCGCCACCGGCAGCCAGTGGTTCGCCGGCACCGATGACTACATCTACGTCACACTGGTGGGGACTGAGCGCTGCAGCGAGAGGACCCTGCTGGACAAACCCTTCTACAATGACTTTGAAAGAGGCGCGGTGAGTAACGGGCCGGAGACAGAACTTTATTTAGTACTGAGTTATCGATCATTTGTCTTGTGCTGTGTGCTCCTCATTCTACTGCTCTGTCACGAGGCAACACTGACATTTCCGAGTAAAGGATCTCTTCATCTTAATCTCAATTCATTTGAACATCCATTCATCAATTTTCTTCCGCTTCATCCGTTGCCGGGTCGCGGGGGCAGCAGTCTAAGTAGAGACGCCCAGACTTCCCTCTCGCACACTTCCTCCAGCTCATCCAGGGGGACCCCAAGGCGTTCCCAGAGAGAGACATAGTCCCTCTGTGTCCTGGGTCTTTCCGGGGGCCTCCTCCCGGTGGGACGTCCCGGGGAGGCATCCAGGAGGCATCGGGAAAAGATGAACACACTGGTTTCACTCTATGTGGAGAAACAGCGGCTCTACTCCGAGCTCCTCCCGTGTGCCTAAGTCCTCTAGCTCTAAGGGAGGCGCGGCTCTACTCTGGTCATTTTTGCTAATTTAATTTTGTCTTTGAGATAAAAGGAATATTAATAATATGTTTTAGTGGTTTGCAGAAAAAGTCAATAGATATTTTTACAATTAACTTTTCTAAACAATTATTATCGCATGATTTGTTATTTTTCATTTTAGAGACAGCAGCAATTATTTCAGTCTCACAGACTTCAGATGTAAGGATTGCAGGACTTTGTTTTCACTTTTTAAACAAAACAAGAATCCACTGCGTCTTTAACCAAGAAGGATGAGAGTCACTTTTTTCAAACTTTTGCAGAACTTTCCACATTTCTTCTGCATTAGTTTTTTGTTCTGAAAACTTATTTCTATTATAATATTATCTTGCATTTTGCTCTTCACTGGTCAATGTATTTGCATATTCTTTGCATCTTTTGTTTGTATTCTGTGTTCTCGAGTTTAAGGAATCTTTTTAAAGTGTGTTTTTCTTTCCTCTTGTTTGGTTTTTCCTTCACATCTTTTTTGGGGCAGTTCTTTTCAAACCTGTTGTTTCATGTATTTTTCATTTCCCTGTTAGCTTCATCAACACTTTCCAATTGTTCTTTTAAAAGATCATCCTGAAACGTTTTTAATGTGTAAAGAACTATGGCCTTTTATTTCCACCTGAATAAATGACAAATACAGGAAGTCCATGTGACTCTGAGGCCTTCGCTGCAGATCCAGAACACTGCGACCTCTCGAGACACATTCAGAAAATTATAATAAAGTCTCCACAAATAAAGATATTTTCATTCAAAACTAATAATAATTCTTCCAGTTTGTCGATACATGCATTTATCCAGGATCCAGGAGTTCTGTTCAGTGTCAGTGGTTAAAAACTCCATTACATCATTTACTGCAGACGTTGTTGTTTCCACACGTTTCAAATCATTACCAACAAAAAAGCAACTCCACTTCCTTTTCTATTTTGTGTTCTGTTTCTATAAAAGACTCTGTTCTTTCATATGTTTAAAAAGTCCTGGATTTAAAAATTGGGACACATGCTCCGGGACTGGAAACAATTTCACCAAAATGGTTTGTTATAATCTAATATTTACAACCATCAACCGCTGGAAAATAGTCCTGGTCTCAGGTCTCTGTCCTGAAGTCCTCTCACATTAGTCCTGGTCTCAGGTCTCTGTCCTGAAGTCCTCTCACATTAGTCCTGGTCTCAGGTCTCTGTCCTGAAGTCCTCTCACATTAGTCCTGGTCTCAGGTCTCTGTCCTGAAGTCCTCTCACATTAGTCCTGGTCTCAGGTCTCTGTCCTGAAGTCCTCTCACATTAGTCCTGGTCTCAGGTCTCTGTCCTGAAGTCCTCTCACATTAGTCCTGGTCTCAGGTCTCTGTCCTGAAGTCCTCTCACATTAGTCCTGGTCTCAGGTCTCTGTCCTGAAGTCCTCTCACATTAGTCCTGGTCTCAGGTCTCTGTCCTGAAGTCCTCTCACATTAGTCCTGGTCTCAAGTCTCTGTCCTCAAGTCCTCTCACATTAGTCCTGGTCTCAGGTCTCTGTCCTGAAGTCCTCTCACATTAGTCCTGGTCTCAGGTCTCTGTCCTGAAGTCCTCTCACATTAGTCCTGGTCTCAGGTCTCTGTCCTGAAGTCCTCTCACATTAGTCCTGGTCTCAGGTCTCTGTCCTGAAGTCCTCTCACATTAGTCCTGGTCTCAGGTCTCTGTCCTGAAGTCCTCTCACATTAGTCCTGGTCTCAGGTCTCTGTCCTGAAGTCCTCTCACATTAGTCCTGGTCTCAGGTCTCTGTCCTGAAGTCCTCTCACATTAGTCCTGGTCTCAGGTCTCTGTCCTGAAGTCCTCTCACATTAGTCCTGGTCTCAGGTCTCTGTCCTGAAGTCCTCTCACATTAGTCCTGGTCTCAGGTCTCTGTCCTGAAGTCCTCTCACATTAGTCCTGGTCTCAGGTCTCTGTCCTGAAGTCCTCTCACATTAGTCCTGGTCTCAGGTCTCTGTCCTGAAGTCCTCTCACATTAGTCCTGGTCTTTCAGGTGGACTCCTATGAGGTGCAGGTGGGGGAGAGCCTGGGGACCATCGTTCTGCTGAAGCTGGAGAAGAACAAGTACTGGGTGCAGGACGACTGGTACTGCCGCTACGTCACGGTCAAGACTCCGGACGGGGACTATGTGGAGTTCCCCTGTTTCCGCTGGTTCACAGACAACAAGGAGCTGGTCCTGAGGGACGGGACCGGTCAGTCTGGACCAGGGGACACCGACGGCAGCTCACTACCATAGACAGCAGCTCACTACCATAGACGGCAGCTCACTACCATAGACGGCAGCTCACTACCATAGACGGCAGCTCACTACCATAGACGGCAGCTCACTACCATAGACGGCAGCTCACTACCATAGACGGCAGCTCACTACCATAGACGGCAGCTCACTACCATAGACGGCAGCTCACTACCATAGACGGCAGCTCACTACCATAGACAGCAGCTCACTACCATAGACGGCAGCTCACTACCATAGACGGCAGCTCACTACCACAGACTTATTGCTTAGACCAGTGTCTCCCAAAGTGGGGTCCGCGGCCCCCTGGTGGGCCGCGAGGGTACTGCAGGGGGGCCGCGGGAGGTCATAAAAAAAAAATAATAATAATATAATTATTTAATGTTAAATTTATAATGTTTTGTTTGTAATATTAAAATATTTGTGTTCATTATTTGACTTGAATAATCCACTGTAATCATTTTTGTATTACAATGTTTGTAGCAGAGGCTATTTCCCCAAAATAAAATAACCAGAAGAGCCTATTCTTAATGTTGTCTTCTTGGTTATTATTTTGGGGGGCCACGCAGACCCGTCAGATTTTTAAGGGGGCCTCGGTGTTACTGAGTTTGGGAATGGCTGGCTTAGACTTAGACTTAGACAGACTGTGCGGTGTCGCAGTAGCTTTGCGGTGTCGCAGTAGCTTGCATAGTATTTCATACAAAAAATATAAAATAAAACATATATAATATGATATTTGTGCTCAGGAATATACATATCTGTGAATATGTAGTTTTACAGTATGTCTGTTATTGTACAAAGACAAAGCAGACTAAGTGTCTGTTTAGATGAATGTGTCACAGAGCGATGACTGCAGCAGAGAGTGGCAGGAACGGGCTCCTGTACCGCTCACAGCTCCTCAGACACAGGAGCAGACATGTTTTCTCATGTCAGAGATAATTATTTCAGAGGAACCTTTTAGATAGATCAATGTTGATGTTCGCGCCTCAACGTGGGAAAGCAAGAGCATCAGAAAATCTAACTGTTTTACATTTTTTTTTTTTTCAATCTGTGACAGCTCACCTTCCCCAAGACGATAAGCTGGGCCTGGTCAAGCAACACCGACAGAAAGAGCTGGATACAAGACGCAAGACCTACAGGTAAAAGAACTTCAGGATAGATAAGGAACATACTTTTAAACATTTGTAATAGATATTCACCAAACTACAGCAGCATGAGCCCGGTGCAATGACGCATGAGGGCCCCCTAAACCCTACGGTCCTGTGTGGTTTCAGGTGGAAAGAGTGGCAGCCTGGTTTTCCCATGAGCATCGATGCCGATCGCCACCGAGACCTGCCCCGGGACAATCAGTTCGACAGCGAGAAAGGAGTGGATTTTGTTTTGAACTACAGCAAAGCGTAAGAGTCTATGGTCTACAGTCAGCTGCAAAGAAGAGAGTCTCACATGAACCAGGAAATATCTCCTTATTCAAAATACAGACTTATTGGATTGATTATTAGGGTCTGCGCAATAGAGCAGGTTCAATAGGTACTGGCCCCACTCTCTTCTGTGTGTGGAGTGAGAGACAAATGCCCACAATTGTTAAGTGCTTTGTGACTCTTATATAAATAAAGATTACTTACTTAGCGTTAGGGCTGCGTTCTGCTCAGTGTATCCAGGCCTTAGCGTTAGGGCTGCGTTCTGCTCAGTGTATCCAGGCCTTAGCGTTAGGGCTGTGTTCTGCTCGGTGTATCCAGGCCTTAGCGTTAGGGCTGCAGTCTACTGTGTATCCAGGCCCTAGGGTTAGGGCTGCGTTCTGCTCGGTGTATCCAGGCCTTAGCGTTAGGGCTGCGTTCTGCTCGATGTATCCAGGCCTTAGCGTTAGGGCTGCGTTCTGCTCAGTGTATCCAGGCCTTAGCGTTAGGGCTGCGTTCTGCTCAGTGTATCCAGGCCTTAGCGTTAGGGCTGCGTTCTGCTCGATGTATCCAGGCCTTAGGGCTAGGGCTGTGTTCTGCTCGGTGTATCCAGGCCTTAGCGTTAGGGCTGCAGTCTACTGTGTATCCAGGACCTAGGGTTAGGGCTGCGTTCTGCTCGGTGTATCCAGGCCTTAGCGTTAGGGCTGCGTTCTGCTCGGTGTATCCAGGCCTTAGCGTTAGGGCTGCGTTCTGCTCGGTGTATCCAGGCCTTAGGGCTAGGGCTGTGTTCTGCTCGGTGTATCCAGGTCTCAGGGTTAGGGCTGCGTTCTGCTCAGTGTATCCAGGCCCTAGCGTTAGGGCTGTGTTCTGCTCGGTGTATCCAGGTCTCAGGGTTAGGGCTGCGTTCTGCTCAGTGTATCCAGGCCCTAGCGTTAGGGCTGCGTTCTGCTCGGTGTATCCAGGCCATAAGAAGTAAATGTCTTGACAAAGTGAAGTGAAAGAATGATGTTGTTGTTTTCCTTTGCAGTATTGAGAACCTGTTTGTGAACCAGTTCATGCACATGTTCCAGTCGTCCTGGAGCGACTTTGGGGATTTTGAGAAGATTTTTGTGAGGATCAAAAACACTATATCAGGCAAGACCCTGCTTCTCTTTTATATCTATCTTTTGACTTTTATCTAAACATGTTCTGGTGTTTGCAGAGTATGTGATGCAGCACTGGAAGGAGGACTTCATGTTTGGATATCAGTTTCTGAACGGCTGTAATCCTGTGTTGATCCAGAAGTGCACTAAGATCCCAGAAAAGTTCCCCGTCACAGATGACATGGTGAAAGTCAGCCTGGAGAGAGGGCTCACGCTGGAGGAGGAAGTCAAGGTCACATTTCCATGGCTCAACATTTCATTTCAGTGTCACAGACTTGGTTATGGATGTTATTACGGTGTACCTCAGGGCTCTATCTTAGGACTTTTTTCATTCTTGGTAAAAGTTAATTACTTCTTATAAAACACCTTCAAAATCAAATTGAGCTTCCACAGAAGATCCCGGGGATAATAACTAAATGTCAATTAAACTATATATTTTTTATATGGACTAATATTTCCTCTACGACAGAAAGTATTAGAGTATTTGTAAGTTATGGTGTCTAAAGAATATAATAATTATAATGGTTCGACGGGACACGTCTTTTAAAAACACATTTCTAAAATGATCAAAAGCATCAGTTTCTGCATTTCATGGATTAATTGATATTTCCACGTTTGACTTATAGTTGTACCACGTCAGCACAGATTAAACAGTATTATTTAAGTTATTAGATACAAACGAGGTCACATGATCATTATTGACAACGATCATGTTGTAGAGAAATATAAAGGATTATTAGTGTTAAATGTTCTGTAACAGAGGCTCCCGTCACTACCGTCGACACGTGTCACAAATGTGGGTTCACTATTCCATTTTCTAATCTGTTGTTGGAAAGTCGTAACTTTGTAAAGTCTCTGAGACTGTTTCAGTGAAATGTGACGTGTTGCAGGCGGGAAACATCTTCATCGTGGATTATGAGGTTTTAAAGGACATCACTCCCAACAGCACCGACCCCTGCACTCAGCAGTTCATCGCAGCTCCTCTGTGTCTGCTCTACAGGAACATCCAGAGCAAGATCCTGCCCATCGCCATCCAGGTACCGCTGTGACCGAGGTACCACTGTGGTACCGCTGTGGTACCACTGTGGGCCAGGTACAACTGTGAGTCAGGTACCACTGTGGGCCAGGTATCTCTGTGGTACCGCTGTGACCAAGGTACTGCTGTGGGCCAGGTACCGCTGTGACCAACATACAACTGTGGTACCACTGTGACTAAGGCACCACTGTGGTACCACGGCGGGCCAGGTACCGCTGTGACCGAGGTACCACTGTGGTACCGCTGTGACCGAGGTACCACTGTGGTACCACGGCGGGCCAGGTACCGCTGTGGGCCAGGCACCACTGTGGTACCGCTGTGACCAAGGTACCACTGTGGTACCACTGCGGGCCAGGTACAACTGTGAGTCAGGTCCCACTGTGGTCCAGGTACCACTGAGCTTCATGTTGCAATCTCTTGTTTTCATGCTTTGTCAAAGGTAAAAAGGGCCACAGATCTCTTCTTGTTCCCCCAGCCGCGGACATGTCCTTCATTTCATCGCCGATGGTTACGTTTGCTGATGTATTCCACGGTGGTTTTACTGCAAAAGGAAAATTAACTGAATCTGAAAGAACTGGCTCTCAAGATTTAAAAACATCCTTCGCTCTTAGCTTTGATCCCAGGCTCAGAGAGATCACTTCTGAAGTATCTTTACACATTAGTCTTAACAGTTGTCTCAGCTACGCTTTCATAACCCTTCTCCCTGTTGCCTTCTAACCTTCTTGCTCCACTACAGATTACACAGATTACACAGATTACAGATTACACACGTTTATAATTGGTCATTATTGACGCTGCAGGAGTGAAACGTATCGTTTTCTCTGCCTCGGTTGTGTGCTCTGTTTAATAATCCCCACTCCGTCTATGTCCAAGACGAGAAAGCAAATGGTTATCTAGGAATATCTTACATTATTCTGACCCTTGGAAAAGCCATGTTCCAGCTTCTTCCCTCTGGCAGACGATACCGTTTGCTGCAGGACATCTGGATATGCTAGCATACTAACACGCTAACAGCTTCTTTCAGCTGTTCTCAGTCAAAGCACTTTAATCTTGTGCTTGTATTGAAATTGTTTCCTGCTCTTTGTTAGCTTGTTTTATTAACCTACTGCTCACTGGGGACTGGGGAAAATGTAGATGTGGTTTTACTGCAAATGGAAAAGAACCTGAATGGGATGAGCAGACACGACCTTCTGGAGGATGTTGACTCTGGGCCTGGATGTTGTCCATGTCTCTTGCAGCTGGGACAGACCCCCGGAGAGGACACCCCCATCTTCCTCCCCACAGACGCTAAGTACGACTGGATGTTGGCGAAAATCTGGGTCCGCTCCTCGGACTTCCACCACCACCAGACCATCACCCACCTCCTGCGCACCCACCTGGTCACGGAGGTCTTTGCCATCGCCATGTTCAGGCAGCTGCCCGCGGTCCACCCGGTCTACAAGGTCTGCAGGAGGACTCGGGGTGAGCTCTGGGATAACTCTGGACTGATTGGGTTTGTTTTGTTGTGGCTGTAGTTGCTTCATCCTCACATCCGCTTCACCATCGCCATCAACACCAAAGCCCGAGAGCAGCTGATCTGTGAGTGCGGCATATTTGACAAGGTGAGAAGAAATATCTCTAATGTCACTGACACAACGTTATATTTGTCATTGAGCTCAATGTTCAATTTGAGATGAAGAGATCCTTCATTCGTTCCATTGTAGGGGACATTTCAGTGTTGCAGGACACAGTGAGACCTAAGCACATTTATCATCACAGACTGTCTATAATCCGTCTGTGCCACAATCCTCCAGGAACCAAAGAGCTTCATGCAAATGTAGCTCAGGTTCAGGCTCCACACTCTCCACACTCTCCACTTTAAATATTAACCAGTGACATGTGTCACTGGTTAATATTTAATGTAAAACTATTTCGTTTTTAAACCCACAGCGTACTCTTTTATTTGTCCAGTTGTCTTATCAACTCCGCTGAGCTGCCCTCGGTCACAATGACCCACCACAGAGACTCAAAGTAGAAGGAAAATACCCAAAGTTAGGATCTAAAAGGGTCTAAAGGACCCAGGACTTGTCAGGTTAGAAGAAGACTGCAGTCTGCAAGCTTTATCCAACACATGTGACAATATAAACATACAACATATATGTAATGTGTGTGTGTGTGTGTGTGTGTCTGTGTCTGTGTCTCTGTGTGTGTGTGTGTGCGTGTCTCTCTCTCTGTGTGTGTGTGTGTGTGCGTGTCTCTCTCTGTGTGTGTGTGTGTGTGTGTGTGTGTGTGTGTGTGTGTGTGTGTCTCTCTCTCTGTGTGTGTGTGTGTGTGTGTGTGTGTCTCTCTCTCTGTGTGTGTGTGTGTGTGTGTCTGTGTGTATCAGGCCAATGCCACAGGAGGGGGGGGCCATGTGCAGCTGATCCAGACGGCTGTAAAGAGCCTGACCTTCAGGTCCCTGTGTTTCCCCGACATGATCAAGGCTCGAGGCATGGACAGCCTCGAGGACGTGCCCACCTACTTCTACAGGAACGACGGGTACGAGGTGTGGGGCGCCACCAGCAGGTGAGACATGAGACTGCAGCCAGACAAACCACATGTTGGGAACAGGCCTGAGATTCTGCTGCAACTGTTTTATTGAGAAAATAAACACTGACATTCAAAGACACAGGAAGAAAACTTTTTCTTTTAGCACATTTTCACTCGTAGCATAAAGCTGGGCGGCTTTTGTCCAATGTGGTGACAAATTACTTTAATTTAAATGCCCTTAAAAGTTCTGGATCATCACTTTGCGTAGACCCTCCAGGATTGGCAAGGAAAGGAGGGATTTAATAAATTGTGGAAAACCTCAAGGAGGCCAGGACTGAGGCTGTAGACCCAGGACTGAGGCTGTAGACCCAGGACTGAGGCTGTAGACCCAGGACTGAGGCTGTAGACCCAGGACTGAGGCTGTAGACCGAGGACTGAGACTGTAGACCCAGGACTGAGGCTGTAGACCCAGGACTGAGGCTGTAGACCCAGGACTGAGGCTGTAGACCCAGGACTGAGGCTGTAGACCCAGGACTGAGGCTGTAGACCCAGGACTGAGTCTGTAGACCCAGGACTGAGGCTGTAGACCCAGGACTGAGGCTGTAGACCCAGGACTGAGGCTGTAGACCAAGAAATGAGGATGTAGACCCAGGACTGAGGCTGTAGACCCAGGACTGAGGCTGTAGACCCAGGACTGAGGCTGTAGACCCAGGACTGAGGCTGTAGACCCAGGACTGAGGCTGTAGACCCAGGACTGAGGCTGTAGATCCAGGACTGAGACTGTAGACCCAGGACTGAGGCTGTAGACCCAGGACTGAGACTGTAGACCCAGGACTGAGGCTGTAGATCCAGGACTGAGACTGTAGACCCAGGACTGAGGCTGTAGACCCAGGACTGAGGCTGTAGACCCAGGACTGAGGCTGTAGATCCAGGACTGAGACTGTAGACCCAGGACTGAGGCTGTAGACCCAGGACTGAGACTGTAGACCCAGGACTGAGGCTGTAGATCCAGGACTGAGACTGTAGACCCAGGACTGAGGCTGTAGACCCAGGACTGAGGCTGTAGACCCAGGACAGAGTCCTGGACACACTTTGTGTGTTTGAACGGTTTGATTCTCTGATCTCTGTCGGAGAATCAACAGTTTTGTCCTCTGAGAGAACTGCTGATTTAAGGCGATACAAAGATAAATTGAGTTAAATGCAGTCCACACAGAGTTTGATTGACACATTTTCCTTTTCCAGCTTCGTGTCCGACGTTGTGAACATTTACTACAGCAGCGACGAAGCCGTGACCGAAGACGAAGAGATCCAGGCCTTTGTCAAAGACGTCTGCAGCTTCGGGATGCAGGACTTCGACTTCTGCGGTGAGTTCCTGTCCCCCTGGTCCAGAGCAGATGGTAGGATCCATGTTTGCACACTTCCTGTCCCCCTGGTCCAGAGCAGATGGTATGATCCATGTTTGCACACTTCCTGTCCCCCTGGTCCAGAGCAGATGGTAGGATCCATGTTTACACACTTCCTGTCCCCCTGGTCCAGAGCAGATGGTAGGATCCATGTTTGCACACTTCCTGTCCCCCCTGGTCCAGAGCAGATGGTAGGATCCATGTTTACACACTTCCTGTCCCCCTGGTCCAGAGCAGATGGTAGGATCCATGTTTGCACACTTCCTGTCCCCCCTGGTCCAGAGCAGATGGTAGGATCCATGTTTACACACTTCCTGTCCCCCTGGTCCAGAGCAGATGGTAGGATCCATGTTTGCACACTTCCTGTCCCCCTGGTCCAGAGCAGATGGTATGATCCATGTTTGCACACTTCCTGTCCCCCTGGTCCAGAGCAGATGGTAGGATCCATGTTTGCACACTTCCTGTCCCCCCTGGTCCAGAGCAGATGGTAGGATCCATGTTTGCACACTTCCTGTCCCCCCTGGTCCAGAGCAGATGGTAGGATCCATGTTTACACACTTCCTGTCCCCCTGGTCCAGAGCAGATGGTAGGATCCATGTTTGCACACTTCCTGTCCCCCTGGTCCAGAGCAGATGGTATGATCCATGTTTGCACACTTCCTGTCCCCCTGGTCCAGAGCAGATGGTATGATCCATGTTTGCACACTTCCTGTCCCCCTGGTCCAGAGCAGATGGTAGGATCCATGTTTGCACACTGGGGAGATGCTTATTGATCGGGACAGCTATAAAGAAAACGTTTCTTGTGTGAGATCCAAAGGTAGTAGACAAAAACGTACAAATCAAACCAATGTTTCCAATCGAACTCTGAAAGTACTGATACTGAGAGATCTGTACTGTTGCTTAATGTTAGTGATGGTGGAAAAGAAAACACAGTCATTATAAAACTAATAAAATGCATCCTTTGGAGTGGAGTCAGTTTACTCGTCCCTTTAACATCTCCTCAACCATTGGATCACCTTTTGAGTCACTATACAGTATCTACTTGCTTGGAAACTTGGAACTGAAATATTCCTCTTTGGGGTATCGCACTTTTACCATCAAACTGCATCGCAAATATTTGGTTAAAAGAATGGGGTTATAAAAAACCTATAAAAACTAATTATTTGTGTTATTGTTGTTACTTATAAGATCTAAAAAATAAAACAGTGCATAGGGTTAAACAGGACCATTCTCAATTGTTTTGGATAGATAGATACTTTATTGTTCCCCGTCGGAGAAATTCAGGTGTCCAGTAGCAGCAAAAATAGAATTGATCATTCTAAAAAGTTAAAAATAGTAGTAATCAGCAACAGCCCTTCAGGTCACAGCAGCAGAGGTGGAGTAGCCTCTGGGTGGGGCAGGACGGGTCACAGCAGCAGAGGTGGAGTAGTCTCTGGGTGGAGTAGGACTGGTCACAGCAGCAGAGGTGGAGTAGCCTCTGGGTGGGGCAGGACGGGTCACAGCAGCAGAGGTGGAGTAGCCTCTGGGTGGGGCAGGACGGGTCACAGCAGCAGAGGTGGAGTAGCCTCTGGGTGGAGCAGGACAGGTCATAGCAGCAGAGGTGGAGTAGTCTCTGGGTGGAGCAGGACAGGTCACAGCAGCAGAGGTGGAGTAGCCTCTGGGTGGAGCAGGATGGGTCACAGCAGCAGAGGTGGAGTAGCCTCTGGGTGGAGCAGGACAGGTCACAGCAGCAGAGGTGGAGTAGCCTCTGGGTGGAGCAGGATGTGTCACAGCAGCAGAGGTGGAGTAGTCTCTGGGTGGAGCAGGACGGGTCATAGCAGCAGAGGTGGAGTAGTCTCTGGGTGGAGCAGGACAGGTCACAGCAGCAGAGGTGGAGTAGCCTCTGGGTGGAGCAGGATGGGTCACAGCAGCAGAGGTGGAGTAGCCTCTGGGTGGAGCAGGACAGGTCACAGCAGCAGAGGTGGAGTAGCCTCTGGGTGGAGCAGGACAGGTCACAGCAGCAGAGGTGGAGTAGCCTCTGGGTGGAGCAGGACGGGTCATAGCAGCAGAGGTGGAGTAGTCTCTGGGTGGAGCAGGACGGGTCATAGCAGCAGAGGTGGAGTAGTCTCTGGGTGGAGCAGGACGGGTCACAGCAGCAGAGGTGAATTAGCCTCTGGGTGGAGCAGGACAGGTCACAGCAGCAGAGGTGGAGTAGCCTCTGGGTGGAGCAGGACGGGTCACAGCAGCAGAGGTGGAGTAGTCTCTGGGTGGAGCAGGACGGGTCACGGCAGCAGAGGTGGAGTAGCCTCTGGGTGGAGCAGGACGGGTCACAGCAGCAGAGGTGGAGTAGCCTCTGGGTGGAGCAGGACAGGTCACAGCAGCAGAGGTGGAGTAGCCTCTGGGTGGCGCAGGACAGGTCATAGCAGCAGAGGTGGAGCAGTCTCTGGGTGGAGCAGGACGGGTCACAGCAGCAGAGGTGGAGTAGCCTCTGGGTGGAGCAGGACAGGTCATAGCAGCAGAGGTGGAGTAGCCTCTGGGTGGCGCAGGACAGGTCACAGCAGCAGAGGTGGAGTAGCCTCTGGGTGGAGCAGGACGGGTCATAGCAGCAGAGGTGGAGTAGCCTCTGGGTGGAGCAGGACGGGTCATAGCAGCAGAGGTGGAGTAGCCTCTGGGTGGAGCAGGACTGGTCACAGCAGCAGAGGTGGAGTAGCCTCTGGGTGGAGCAGGACGGGTCACAGCAGCAGAGGTGGAGTAGTCTCTGGGTGGAGCAGGACAGGTCACAGCAGCAGAGGTGGAGTAGCCTCTGGGTGGAGCAGGACGGGTCACAGCAGCAGAGGTGGAGTAGCCTCTGGGTGGCGCAGGACAGGTCACAGCAGCAGAGGTGGAGTAGCCTCTGGGTGGAGCAGGACGGGTCACAGCAGCAGAGGTGGAGTAGCCTCTGGGTGGAGCAGGACAGGTCACAGCAGCAGAGGTGGAGTAGCCTCTGGGTGGAGCAGGACGGGTCACAGCAGCAGAGGTGGAGTATCCTCTGGGTGGAGCAGGACAGGTCACAGCAGCAGAGGTGGAGTAGCCTCTGGGTGGCGCAGGACGGTCACAGCAGCAGAGGTGGAGTAGCCTCTGGGTGGAGCAGGACAGGTCACAGCAGCAGAGGTGGAGTAGCCTCTGGGTGGAGCAGGACAGGTCACAGCAGCAGAGGTGGAGTAGCCTCTGG